GGAAGTTCATCGTCTGAGCTCACGCTGATGAAGTTGTCGGCACCAGCTTCCAGGCTCAGCAACGTCAGCAAGGCTTCTTCACTCCAGGTGTCCGATTCGTCGATGCTGTCTGCGCGACTTCCAAGCTTGAACACCACGCAGGTCTTGTGGTCCAGCCCGCTTGCCAGCGCACGCTGCAACGTGGGAACGTCAACCTGCAGCGTTTTGCGAGCATCCAAGATCTTGACTGACAGGTCGTCGGAGATACAGACGCCAACACAGTGTGGCTTCCCTCCGTTCTCTGTGTGCAGCAGAAAATTTCCAGGCTGCCAATCAGGCAATGCTGATTCTGAGTCAGGTACAAGCGGCAGAAACCTTACGCTGAGGAGGCTTTCACAGTCTTTGTACGACCTGAGCGTCGGACAGCTTGGGTTTTCTGCGCGGGTGTTTGTTGAAAGCTTGGCCTCCACCTCTTCCGTCGAGTTCAGCAGAAGACCAACAGCAGCAGGAATGCAGTTACCGCATTGCCGCAGGCCCGCGTCTGGCAGAAGAGATGATTCTTCACAAGACGTCGCTGCCTCAGAAATGATCTGGAGCACTGTCAGATGCTGCTTTTCCCGAATGACAACTTCGAATCCTGTTGCAGCCTTCACGCGCAGGCTTAGCCTGTCGCAGAGGTCCTCGACCCGTTCAGTCGCAGGTCGCGAGACTCGAACACCGTCATAATGGAGAGACAGGTGCTGTGGTTTGTCGCGCGAAAGGCATTCTGCGCAAGTTGAAATCACTACGTCCTCCACGATGAAATACAGGTGAGAGAGCAGTGTAGCTTCTGGGAAGTGTTTCTTCTCTGTCTGTGTTCCTTGCGGAGGATGCTTGAGACGCTCGTACTCATCGGGGAAGAGAGACACTGCAAGCCAGCGACAATATATTGATGCATTGGACAGCTCCTGCAAAAAGTTTCTGGCTGTTCTACTTTCAAGAGAAGAAGGAACAGCTGCACCGTTGAAGATCTTGATGAGCAACAGCTTGCCGTCCTCCTGCACGCAAGACACAGAGACAAGATCAGTATATAGGACAACCAAACTTCTTATTATTTATTCTCCTGCGATTTTCGCTCGACACACCCAGCCTTCGACATACGCAGCGTCTCTGCGCAGATCCCATCGCGATCCTGCGCGCATCTGCGCAGTGTCCTCAGAACGACGTCCGGAGGAGGTGGGGACAGCTTTAACTTCATCATGAGTTGGTGCATCAACGTGAAAAGGGCATTCTCGATGTCGAGATCAACAGAGCCTGATGCTAGATGCACCTGCGCCTGCCGACAGAATTTCTGCACGCCTGTACCGCGAACTGACTTCCTAGATCGAAAAGATACCACCGCAGGATATGTGTACGTGCGTTGAACGCAGCACGTTTCATCAAAACATGGCTTCGCATCTTCAGCTTCTGCTTTGACATCCAAGAGAACCTTTGACTTCGTGCGCCGCCTCTTGAAGCTGGAGGAGCGCGGGGTCTGAGATGAACCTGCGAACTCTGCAAGGAGCTCATCAAACAAGTCTTCCTGCCCCAACAACTTTCTTCCTCTCTCATGAAGCGAGTCAATGCAGCTGTCACCACCAGATTTGGGAGGACGTCTGCGCCCTGATGACGGAGGTTTGACACTGGAATAGAACTTGCCTAGCACGAGAGCATTTTCTCGCCTTGCAGGACACCCTTGAACGTAGTCTGCGAAGTTCTTCAGATGCAGCAGCTCCGAAAAGATCATCTGCGAGTCCATGTTCCTCAAGTCTAGGACTGCTGCTAGGTTTGAGCAGTTTATGAGAGGCCTGTAGACTTCGGCAGTTTTACCGCGAGCGACGGCTTCCACAAGGACACCGTTGCTCACCATCGCCTTGATAAGTTCATCCTTGGACACGTTCGGGCCACAGGGAAATTTCAGGCGCACGAGCATCGGCTTTGTAACGTCGAACCGCTCCGCTCCCAGCAAATGGTTTGTGATGAACTTGCGCAGCAAATCCCATTCCTTGTTCGGATCTGCTCCGTCGGCATCCTTGTCGTCGTCCTCATCAACTTGAATAATTGCCTGCGCCCGGCTAGCATTTGCTCGGACATCTCGTGGAGGCATGCCACATGCCTCGCGCATGGTCTTCTCGGTCAGGCCATGATCGCCGCCCCATTGCACATAGTTCTCGATCATCTGCACGCAGTCCTGCGGTTCGAAGTTTCAAACAAGCAGCAAGGAGGCCTGTGCTTTCGTGGGTCGAACACTTTGGGACATGAGCTGCAACACTCGCAAGTCCTGCTGGTTATGTTGGCATTCGAAGCAATGCTGCAGCTGCAAGGCGGCACATATCGCAGGACCAGATGTCAGAAATTCCTTCAGTTCTGAATCCTTCGCAAAGACGCCATCTCTGTGTATGTCTGCGTACGCACCTTGCATAGACGCTGTGGCAGCCACATGTTCAGGCTTGTGTCGTTCGAACAATTAATATTTCACGCAACAACAAATTTCCCGCGACCGAGGCACCTTCAATTGCTCTGGGGTCCTCAAACCGTGCTTTGATCCGAAAGACAAAAGATCGCCTCAAGATTGCATTGAAGTCTCGCTTCGTTACATTGGAGAAGGTGAAGAACCGGTTTGCCTCCAGCCGTTTCCAACCTATGCAGTGGATCATGCGGGTTCGCAATCCGTACGGCTTGCGGCCCGAGATGCCTGCAGCGTGCAATCTGCAGATTTGAGTAGCTACGAAGTGCTATAGTATCTTGCTGTTAGACTCGTCTGCTAGAAAGCTTTGATATTCCGCAGCCTTCGCCGGACATAAACTTCTTGTACAGGTCCTCGCGGAGACGACGATTGGTGCCCGGTGCTTCTTGGCCTGTGGCACATGCTATGCTTTCGCACAGCTGTTCAGCACATGATGCAGTGTTTTGTGAAGTTCGGCTGTTCTTGAGGCTGGCATATGCTCTCGTGCTGACAGCCTGTCAATACGAAGCGGCCGTTGAGCTGCTCAATCTGCTTTCTCATCTCATCTTCGTTGTACCATATGTTAGGGTCAAAGTACGCGAAGTTGTGGCCGTACATTGCCTGAACTTGGGCGAGCGTGCACAGACCTCATGAGCTTGCAAGAAAGCATAGAGCACACTGGGTGCCTGTCCTCCAAGTGGGATGAGTACAGAGACTGCCCGACACCGCCGGAGGATAGCCCGATGAAGAGCCGTACCACGTTGAGGCCCCTTTTCGCCAAGGCCTGCGCGGCGAAAGCAACTACTAGACACGTCCCTCCAAAGCCCAAATCAGTCGAGATACTATAAACTGTCTTCATGTCGCCGAGTAGCTTGTGCAGCTTGGCAGCATTTGAAGGCGTCGACGTTGCCCCAAAACGTCTGCCGATAGAATTTGAGCAGGCGCTCGAGGACATGGTCGGGAACCACACACTTGATGTTGTGAGGGATGTGCACGTAGATGTCGTTGAACGAAGCCCGCTGCACCTGAGTTATACAANNAGTTACTTCAGCTAGTCGGTGATGTGGCAGCCGCTTCATGCAGCAAGGCGCCTGTCGCGCTGATCCACCAGCAGGCATTTCGACGCAACAATCGTTGTAGCAGCAGCCTGCCGCTTGTGCCATTGGCCGCTCGCAGAATTCGATCATGTACGAGACCAACTTGTCGTCCGAAAGTTCTCGAATAATGTTCCTTTTGATCGCGATGATCGTCCGAGCACAGTAGATATTCCAAAGGTTGGACGGTATCTCCTCGCCTGCATCATCTACATCATCAGCAGCTTGTTTTCTGCCTTTCAGCAAAGAGTCTCCTTTGCACGAAATGGCAGCTAGACGGCAGGCGTCCAGAAAGCTTTGTTCGCTGTCAGCAGCATCCAGAAGCGAAGATACTGCTTGGAGAACATCGTGCTCATTCCGCCGTGTGTTTGCCGGAAGTTTGCGGAAGAGTCCTGCAAATCTACGGCTACGGTTCTACTGGCATCAGGAACTTCTTACACAATTCAAAAGTGAGCTGGTGTTTCACCACACAATCCTTCAAGACACACAAGAAACGAGTGGATACGACTGCAATCCAAGGGAAGACCTTTGTAGTGTTGAAAAGCGCCACTTGCATGCAGGATGTAGCAGTCGCCGTGGTGAAAGCGCATATGTGTTTCGCCCTCCATGATCCACAGCATGATGGCGCTCTCACGCTGGAATATGTCCACTGTCCGCAAAGCAAGAACGGCCACTGTAGCTGTCATGAGCTTTGTCATATACGTAGACACACTGGGGTACTTGTTCGCAATTCTCGTCTTGTCTCTTGAAACCATCTGGACAATGCTGTCAGAATCATGCAGCATCTCAGGTTGTTCATTCTGAAAGACCGACCGGACATCTTCAAGACGTGCGAACAGCTGCCGGAAGTCTTCATTAGACGTCGCCGCCCCAGGCAAAAGACGCCTCTTCTTCAAAGCTGGCCAAGCTTTTTCTGCAACATCCTCCTCGCCCTCCAGCACAACTTCAGCAGCCTCTTCTTCAATCCTCTCTTGTTTCAACTGCTGCGAGAGACCATCCATCAAGCTGACTGCTTCAGCCAGTTCTTGGTCCACGCGCCTGCCGAAGCTTTCTTGCGATGCTTCGGCCGCAGAACCGGCTGCTGCACCTCCAACATAGTCCATCATCACATCCTGCACTTTCTCAGTTGCGAAGAGAACAGTCGAATGCTCGCGAAGAAGCACGTCCATGGTGCGCAGGGTCAAGGCGGTCAAAGTTGCAGTCATGAGCCTCCTCATGTACTCAGACAAATCTGGGAACTGCTCTGACATGCGACGCTGAGCGACCAGATTCCGAATAGAGCTCGCATCATCTGCCGCTTCGTTGAAGGCCCGCGAGCATGAGCCTCCTATCGCATCCTGCCAAACAGCTGCGCAAACATGGCAAATCTGCCGATTGTCGAGCTGGTTTCTGTGTTGTGAGCAGAACCACTCCGAGCAATGATCGCACGCCCTGATATTGCCTGACGCAAGCATTATCAGTCGCTGACATCTGAAGCAGCTGATGGACGTGCTCGAGTTCAGTGGACACGGAATTGGTCGCACTGTGAACGCACTCTGCGATGATGTGGCAGGAGCAAACACTCTAACAAAAAACTTGGTGAACACTCCCAACTCTTGCTGTACGTTTGGATGTACCTGGAGGCTGGGCAGCGCTATACCATCAATCACAACCCGCATCGTCCATCTCTGCCAGCGGACTTGGATCACATGCTCTTCACGCCCGGTGGGGAGAGGTCCTCTGATGCGCAGTGCTGGCACAAGAATGTCGTTACTTCTGCCATAACTAATTTCCATGTCTGTCTCGAAAGGTCTGCGAATTCGACAGAATATTGATCTCGGCTGGCTTGGCAACGGCCAAGGGTGCAAGTCATCTCGCTTTTTGATCCCCACAAGCAGCAGGCCGCACGCCTGCTTGAACCGCAAGACACAGGCTGCGTCGCCAAACAAATTATCAGTTGACTCCCATGAAAAGCAGCTGTGGCCGAAGACTGTTGTAGTTTCGAGTTGCTGCAGCGACCAAGCCATGGACAGATTGCGCGGCAGTGACGATAGCGGCAACCTTCCTAGATGCCTGTTGCAGACGACNNACTGACGTCGGCAAGGCTGTCCAGGTGAATGCAAAGGTCTCGCCACGACGCTGGGTCGAGAACCATTTCTCGAAGCCGGCGGCAGCAAGCCTGCAATTGCAAAATGTGCTCTGGACAAGAATAAGCGACACCAATGGAACGCAGCAGCTCATGCGGCAGAGATCCGCCGTGCAGATCTTGAGGTTGCCGGTTTGCTGCGCCGAGTCTTCGCCGCTCAGCCAGACGAACCAGCGTCGCAACTTCAGTAACCCACTCAGCTGCATTGAAATTGATCAGCGGATGAGGTAAGACTATTTTGTATTCTGCGTGCAAGAACATGTACAGGATGTAGTACATTTCTTGGTCAAGCATCGTTAAAACTACACGAGCATTGCGCATCGCCCGTTCCCACTTTCGTTTGCCAGCATGGCAATAATTAGACGGGGCGGGAAAGATGTCGATTGCGCAGGGGAACTGGAGAATAACAGCTTCGTAAGGACAAGGTCACTATGGGCATCCCAGCGCTTGGCAGTGGCAGAACCTCCAACCGCATCATGGTTTTCGTGAGCACCGTCCGCAACTTCGCGACAAATCTCTCGTGCCCATCTCGCCTCTTCAACCTGAGCGGCCATAATAGCAGCGGTTTCCTTGCAAAGATGCGGCACAATGTCTACAAATGGCTGGGACACGTTATCAGGGTGAACACAGACGACATACATTGCCGAGACAGTGAAGCCGTAGTACTTCTCAAGCAGGTGTCTGTAAA